GTTCACGTCACTCAAATGCCATTTGTCATTCAATGAACAGAGACAAACCATGGATATACTAACCCAAGCTTATTCTGCTTTTATTAATAAGGGTGTGGGTGATTTGCTAGAGATGACCTGCGGAAGCGAAACGCGGTCATTTACTGTGGGTCTCATAAAAGTGTTAAAAAGTCACATAGTAAGTAATGAGTGCGATGTTCTCTCCCTCTGTGGTTTTTCGGTAAGTCGCGAAATCAAGAATGAGGAAAAACTATGGATAATAGTAACCGACATTGCACAAAGGGTCGCTGCGCTGAAATTGCAATCGGCGAGTCACGTAACACGTAGTTAGAGGAATCTATATGACGATAAGGTTCTTAAAAAGCGACCACTCAAGCAACGGCTCACAGGGCATGCCGTCTAGTTAAGGTCTCAAAAAGCAGCTTGATGCGGAAAAAGTGAAACCGGTAATCGGGGTGGAGATCCTTGGGGTGACCTATGCTCAGCTGTCGGCATCGGTCGTAGAGCTATAATGATGAATTAAATGATAATTCGACCTTTAAAGTTTGAACGCAATAAAAGTTCTTTTGTTAAAAGATTAGGTACTTACTTCGATAATTATTTTGTGTCACAAATGGATGGACTTATTGTGTAATGTTTCTTTATTAATTCGACGTATAGTAATGATTTTTTTCTTAAAAATATTGACTGTGCGTACTTCTTTAATTATGCAAAATCCGTTACTACGGTTACTATAATTTTTGTTTTTCTCTACGTATTAATAAAAAGATGCTGATTTCCATACACACCAAATTTACTGCTCACGGTTTGAATTATGCGGAGTCACGGAGCAGATACAGTTATGTATTTGGTAGGCAGTTCATAAAGAAGTTAAATTTATTGCTGTAATCTAATACTATTCAACATATTTTTCTAGAAATATGCAAAGAATTTTTTGCATAAATTATCCGTGAAATACCGTAACATTGTCAAATGAAGTAAAGCTTGCGTGAAAGACAAGCAGAAAATTAGCGTATCCAAATTTCACTGAATTTCTTTCTACTGCCAACAAAAAAGTGAAGTATTTAGTACTTACACTGTGTATTTAGTTGTACTTTCATTTCGTGACCCCCTGAGAGACGCCATTGAATGAGCGTGAAAGTGTGAATGGGCCATGCAAACGACGCTTCATGGCTCAGTAATGATCGTAAAAATTTTGTTCAACAGAGCACTGGTTACCAAACGACAACGAAATAATATCTTTAAAAATGCAAACTGAAGACAGGAAATTGTCCACCAGTTAAGCTTGGAACAGAACAGTTTTCACAATGTGGTGTTGCTAAATACTTGGTGATACATCTTGACAGAAAGCAAACATGGAAAACCCATATTCAAAAGAAAAGGGATGAACTAAATATTCGCTTTCGCTCACTCCTTTGGATAATGGGAAGACACTCGTTCGTTCAGTTTGAATAACAAGCTTCTCATTTATAACGCGGTATTAAAACCAATTTGGACTTACGGCATTGAACTTTGGGGTACAGCGAGTAAATGGAACCTAAAAATCCTGCAGCGATTCCAAAACTCAGTGTTTCGCACCATACTGAATGCTCCATGGTTTGTGAAAAGCACAGAAATGCACGACTGCTTGCAAAGCAACACTATCAAGGATGAAATAAATGCTATAGCTAAGTGCTACCAGACAGGCAGACTTGTTCACCATGTTAATAAACTTGCGGTGGCTCTCACTGATGTTAGCAAACACACCAAAAGACTCAAAAGATGTACTATCGGTGAGCTGGAAAACAGGCATTAACTGGAGATCAGTATGGAACAATGAAAGAAGAGCTTTTTATTGAAAAAGCCATCTCGCAAGCCCGAAAATACATTGAAATGTTCTGCTTATACTGTAGACTGATCGCAGAAAGCGGTAAAAAAAAATGCAAACATTTTCAAAATTAAGGTTGTTTAGTTTTGTGTTTTAAAGGTTTCATTTTGACCCCCTCTCCAACCCAAGAACAGAGATAGCTTTTATGGTATAGCGAGCTTGGCGTGGCTTTTATGGCTTTATGTTACTAGCAGGAGTCTATTCTTTCTGGCTTGAAAATTACTGAAAGAAAAGACAGATACCGTCGTCTGGCTACTCCCTGTGGGAGAAGCAGGCGTCACACCTTTTATTTATTGTTGATTTTAACTTTATTGCCTATAGATGCAAATGGCAAACTTAATGCCAATGTGGCACTCTCTTCCAGTCAACCAGAAAGAATGTGCAGGCTTAATAAATCAGTAGAGAATCAAAAAATCCTTTTCCAGGAACGATAAAAAATTCAAGGTGTAACTTGAGAACGACTATGTCGATTTTATGTAACGTTTTTGTTAGTTTTCTAATACTTCGTAGAAGGCTCTTATGGAGCACATAAGAAAGTTTAGCAGAAAATAAAAATAAATATATAATATAGTAGGAAACTTGACTAACAATTTTACTCAACAGGTAGCGCTGCAATGCATATTTTTATAGAGCAAGCATTTTACAGCGTATATCGGTTCGCTAGTTGTAAATGTATTTTAATAGAAATATATCTTACATTTTTTATGTTTAAAGGATGGCAAACAAGCGTATGACCCCCGCCTGATTATAAGCGGCCACCATAGCCTTTAAACTTTGCGTTATCAAAAATAAATTTTGACGATCACAGATTGAACGCGCTAGCCACCTGCGCCATCGAGCTCCTCTAAAAACACATTCAATATATCACACGAATGTCTCTAATAGGGACTGGATAAACTGGAAAGAAAATGTGAAACTCCTTGACTCGGCTCGAGAAAATAGTTACAAAGCAGTTTCAAAGATTGCATGTAAAGATTGCACAACAAACACGCGAATGTGACGCTTATAAGCTAACTTTATGTAATAATAAAAACTTTTTCACCAAAAGTAAAATATTGACTTCGTAAAAACATAACCAATTAAAATTGCAAATTTTAAACAAAGATCAAATCTTTGCTTGAGCGTAGGTTTTGACGTAAATGTCCTTGTAAAATAAGCAATTACTCAGCTGAGTTTTACCGTGGTTTTGATCAATGTTTATGTTTTTTAAAAAAACGTTCTAAAATGAAAGCTCGTTCTGAAACTACTTTTAAAACTAGATTTCTTACTGAGAAACGTTCTTTAATACGGGCCTTAATCAAAGTTCATCTAACGTACGAGTATATTCAAAGTAAAATTACTTCTAAGTAAAAGATAAGAATTATTTATTCATTTTAAGTGGTTTCGATTTTATGAAAATGAAAAAATACTTGAGGTTGTCCGCGACTTCATCTGCGTTAAAAAAAAATTATTTCCCGTACAAACTTCCTCTCCTCATTTCTCTTAAAGGGTGATTTCTTGGATAAAAGCTATCCATCTCCTTTCCCGAGACTCAATCAGCCATCAGCATTTCACAAAAGTTCTGATGATGTCTTCTCCTTCGAAATACTTTAGTACCTGAAGATCAAGGTCTTCGAACAGTGCGTGTTGCCAGTGATGACACACGGAGCTGAGACGTGGTCGTTGTCAGTGGGTTTGGGAAGATGATAGAGAGGATATCTTCTATGGATATAGAAGAACTCGAGTAACTGACATAGCTAAACGGATTGCCAAGCTTCGAGTAGTCTAGAGGCTCCAGACAGAGAGGAGACTCCCCTCGTGGGGAGATGCCATCCGCCTCGAATACCTCTAGAGGCACTCGCCAATCTCGGCTTGAGGTCCCCTAAGGATCTCGCTGTCCCCAAACCCAGTGACACTGTGAAGGTCATCTGCGACCAACAGCATACACACTCAATAAAAAAGTATCGCCAAGCTGAAGTGGCAATGGGCGGGGCGCATTGTTCGACGAATCGATGGACGTTGGGGTCCTAAGGTACTTCAATGGCGACTTCGCACTGGGAAGCGCAGTATCGGTAATCCCCTTACCAGGTGGACTGACGACATCAAGCGAGAGACCCACTGGATGCGGGACGCTCTAAAGTTTTACTATAAAGACTTCCACTCAATCCCAGAGGAAAGGGTGCTGCCAGCGGGGATGAGTCTGCTCTATACTGCGTTACTATTGAAATCGTTATCTACTATACTTAGATTAAAACAAAAAAGCGGCCGCTTTTTTGATTTAATCTAAGCTATTATACCTAATATTGAATGATTAATACCTAACAGAACACTGTTTGTATTTATAGTGTATGACACGGCAATCAAAATGTAAGTTGTATTGTTGTATTTTTTTTATTATTGTAAATTTTTTTTATTGTAAATGTTTTTCCTACCCTGAGGGTAGGATCTCGCCGTCCCCAAACCCGGTGACGCTGTAAAGGTCATCTGCGACCAACAGCATACACACTCAAAAAAAAACACACAATTGTTAACAAATTAAAACAAACAACAACGCATTGTTAACAAATTAAAACAAAGGCTATTTTTTCTATGCATTACGATCCTTTAAATACTTTTTCACTATGTAATAGTAACCTTCCTAGAAATGAACCCCTCAATCTTTTGAGCCTGAAGCATGGAACGGCAAGTTTGTCCTTATTTCTTGTATCAAAATCATGAACGGTACTTCTTTTTGCAAAAGTAAAATATTTTTTTCTTACGAACATGATACTTTCATAGATATATTGAGATGCGAGCGTTAAGATATTAATTTCTTTAAATATTTCTCTAAGCGATTCTCGTGGACCTAAATTGTATAAAGTTGGGATATTATTATGACGCTTTTGTATAAATATCAAAAACATTATATCTAATAAAAATATTATATATAAATATCAAGAACATTTATTATATTTTTTATTATTTTTAAAGCATGTAACTGCTTGATGTTTAAATCTAAAGAAAATATAACTAGAAAAAATTCCACGCGGACCATTTTTAGTAAAACATTTATACAAAGAAAATGCGTCATAATAATATCCCAACTTTATACAATTTAGGTCCACGAGAATCGCTTAGAGAAATATTTAAAGAAATTAATATCTTAACGCTCGCATCTCAATATAAATACCTATATCTATGAAAATCATCATCTGAGAAACCCAGCAACTACACATGTAGTAGGTATACAAAGAAATAAATTGTAATAAATGTGCTTTTATTGATGACTGACATGGCTTGTTAGATAGACCAAAGTGCCTGTTCTACTTTACATACACAAACATGTATTGTTCACATAAAATACCATATGTACGAAATTTTAGTGTGGTTTCATTAAGTAGCTTAGGTAATATTCTTTCATTACTAAAATCTATTTGCATTTATTTTATAAAAAGCGCCATCTATCACGGGCCTATAAAACTATATAACCACTCTTCCGCTTAATGCTTCATAAGGGATGTGACATTCCGTTGAGGACTGATAAAATAATAGGTTTTCATGCAGTAAAGAAAAATAAATAAACTCAATTTAGGAAATGAGAGTCGTTATATTTCTTATAAAATATTTATTAATTACATTCTTGATAATTTTATTATCATTCGCAATTTTATTTTGTCGATTGAAGACATATAAAACTTACGGGCATAATTTAGTTTACAAAACTACATTATGATAATATTTAATAACTTAGTATAAGTATAAACATACTATTTATTCAGTTATCGTCCTTCCTTCCTCATCGCTTGAAGAAATAGTATTCCCATTTAACAAGAAAGGAATACAAAAGCTGGAATTGATAGGTGATTACTGTTTAAATGTATTTATGAATTTAAGAATTATACCTTAGTTACATTTTCTCTGTAGAATCTTTATAGTTACCATTCTTAAATATTTACTTTTTAAAAATAATATAGTTGCCTTATAATAACTAGCCCCATATTTACTAACGAAAATTAATCTTGCCTTTATTACGCTGTGATTTGTTTCCATTTATCGAATAAGAAATATCATATAAATGATAATTAGATATGATGAAAAACAAAAACAATACAATGTTTATAGTCCATTGACCTACTCGACAAAGTTAGAGGTGATATTTTATCTCATTGAAGTAAATTTCATTTAATGAAATATTCCTCATCTTTGTTGCAACGAAGGAAGTCAAAAAAGGCCATCAAAATTAACAAAGAACATAAATTAATTAAATGTGGTTTATAAAATAGCTCTGCTTTGTTAACTCCCATCTCTTTTAATACAATTTGGAGATGTTTATTTTTACCAAATTAACCAGGATTATCTGGAATATTAAATCAGGGTAAATCGAGAGTTAATTTTTGGTCTATCGTTCAACCATGCGTAGACGCAACGGTCCGTCCGGCGCGTACATGAAGGTGACAGCGTAGTCGAGCGGCTCGTGGTGGTATTCCAGCCGATACCGCCGGAGCAACTGGAATATGAAAATACTTTATTACATCCCGTAATATTATACATTATTGTACCTAATTGTGTTGTGAACAACAACCTGTGGGTCTTCAATGTAAAGGGGATTAATAAGTTGTCTTTTAAGCTTATTTATAATGATGTAAAATATACAAAAACATAACCATTTTAAAAACATTCGATTATAATCACTATGTTAAGATAGGTGCTATTTACGTTCGGGTCAAACTATAGATGATGTGTATTTATAAAACCTAAGTTACAGGGATGCTGCCATTGCTTCTGATTACCACAACACAAATGCACAAACATTTTAGATAAAATCAAACATTCAATTCATAATGTGATAACGTTGGTGCATTCTTATTGCTAGAAACAGCACAGCATTGATAAATATCAGCATTAAACTTTGGTATTCGTTATGCAAGCGAATCACAACAAATGAAAATTTAAATAGCATAGCTTACCTTTGCCAACAACACTTGGATTTCCAAATCCGCGAATCGCCTTCCCAGACAAATTCTAGCGCCAAACCCGTACGGCAACGATGCGAACGGATGCAGCCGCCCATCGCTCTCCAGCCATCTCTCTGGTTTGAACTCTTCGGGATCAGAGACAAACTGCTCCATATTCCCTGTCACTATTGTGGGGAATACCACTTGAACCTGGAAGGTGAAATATTCTTAGTAAGACTTATTATTTTTAGTAAAACTTATAGTGTAATAATAATTTGACTTTTTAATTTATATTTGCCGTATCTATCAATGATTTGGTTAATTAATGAAGAGTTGAAAGCACAGTTTAGTAAACCCTGCTTTATGAAGATAAATCTTTTGAAAGGTAGGCAAGTTTTCAATCCCGCTCCCAAACTCTCAATTCATTAATTGCCATTATTTATTACTGCTGCTAAGCAGTTGCAACAAATTTATAAAAACAAAGAATACTAAATAAATTGCTTCTGTATGTGTTTCTGTGACATTGGTTATTATTTATATAATTCTAATACTTACTCCTTTCGGAATATGATATCCACATATCACGTCATCTTCTTGTAATGTTCTTCCATTACCAATTACCGTTGAATACATTCTGAAATAAAAAACCATATTAGTGCAACAATAATTATTAAACAGAAATAAAATAAACAATAACATGATGCCAAAATTAGCTTAGCACAAAGTTTGAAGAAAATCTTAACAACTTTACGAATTTTAAACTAAAAGTATAAAATAGAAAAATCGTTATGTTTACCTAAATACTTCTCTTACGAAAGCCTTCGTATAGTGAAGTTTGTCTAAGTCTGCATAAGTGATTGGCTTATCAGGATCTGGAAACACTCTCTTTATTTCTTCTGCCATTTTATCTTGTTGTTTCAGTCTTAATGAAGCCTGGTATAGTATGGAGCAGACAGCCATGGATATCTACGACGAACATTGATTTAATTTAATTTAATTAAGAGCGCATGTATCAGCAAAATCTTAATGGTTTTATAGCTATCACGGTTTTTAGTAGTGTATGTAAATCTAACAATAACGTAAAAGAGAAAATACCGTATCTATTCCAACTAAAATTAGATCCAGAGCCATAATTGTTGCAATCTTGGGATCTCCTTCACTCTTGAGCACGCGCTCAAGCAAAGACAGATCATTTTCAGAAGTTACTTTCTTCGTCTTCAGCCTTTCTAAAGCCTCGTTAATGTACTTGGAGCAAAGTCTGGAAAGAAATACTTATTGTTTGTAAACAGGTTTTTTATTTCTATATGCACGGGAAAGTTAACAGATGACGCATTCTTTATTGATGTGTAACATCATTCCTCTCGCTTTCCTGCAATTTGTGGGAATGATTTCGTGAAATATAATGGAAGTGTATAACATGGAATAATGTTCAAATGGCTTATACCTTTTGTAGTAGGTTTTATTTCTTTTTTTACTAATATAAGGTGAGGTTTCAAATGTTACACATCATACGCAACTCGCTCGTTTTTTGTCTTACTTCGTCTTGCAAAAATAGGCGTCTGAACATAACATACATAAATATGTAATATTTCGTCACCATAGTGACGTTGATATATATAGTGACAATACTTACTCGACGAAGAAGTTCATATTGTTCACGTATTTGGTCCACAGCGGCGTCGGGAAGTATCGCCAGTACGGTGCCTTCAGCTCGAGTACGGCCACATTCCGTAACGCGTATTTCGCCGCGTCGATAATACGCTGCGGTTCCGAGTCGCTACTCAGTCGTGACGAGAGGCAACCCAGCCGTACGTCGAGCGCGACGCGGCCGATACCTGAAGCATTGGATAGATGGCGCTGTCAGTATGGGAAAAGTAATTGTTACAAATATTTGAACAAACCAAAAGAATTCAAATTAAAAAGTATAAGTCATGTTCGATACTCAATTTATTACTTTTTGACTCGATGTTTTCAACAAGATTAAGATGCGATTAAGTCTGAATTTTATATAAGAACGTTACATAGTGGGCTTAATATGGTTTTGCATTGTTTTTGTTACTAAAAAATAAAATAATTATGAGGCAATGAACATCATAGTTATGAGGTTAAACAGCATTAAAATTCTACGGTTGAGATTAGAATTCAATTGTAAGTATTTTCCGTCCATATTGTAGGTATGAATTGCAGGGTCTCGTCTGGGAAAATTTAGATAACAAATAAGAAATCTTGATTTATTTATGTATTCGTCCACCTCAAAGACAAATTAATAACATTATTCTGTAATTTTACATTCAGCGGTGTAAGAGTTTCCCGAACTCGGCGGGGCGTAAGCTATAAGATCAATACCCTTAGCACGAACCAATATCGAATTCGAATAGTTTGCGAGTCCGAAATATGATTGTCAAATTTTGTATGGAATCTTGCACAGCAGTGCCATAAAGGACGTAACGAGAACTAAAAATCAGTACACATTTGACAATGACATTTCGTACTCGCAAACTATTCGAATTCAATATTTATTCGTGCTAAGGGCAGAAGGCTTATGTAGGTATCGCTACTCGCAAGCATCTAATGTTGGCAGCTTACTTAATGGCTGCAGGGGGGCTTTTTAAGCAGGGCAAAGAAAAACTTATACTTGTCAAAATACTTACTTTTTTCCTGACACAGCGTATGCATGTTGGTCGCAAATGACCTTTTTAGCGTCACCGGGTTTGGGGACGGCGAGATCCCAAGGGGACCTCAAGCCGAGAATTCGCGAGTGTCCCTAGAGGTATTCCAGTCGGATAGCATCTCCCTACGGGGGCAGTCTCCTCTCCGTCTGAAGCCTCTAGACCACTCGAATCTGAGGGGGTCGGCTCAACTAGAGGGCGTCTCTGAGACTCGGACCTCGGCTCTAGTTAGCTGTTGTCGTGGGGGGCGAAAATACTTACATTCGAGTGACCACCGATGTATGTCGTTGTCGAACTCTGCGGGTAGGTCGCCGTGCTCGTCCCTGGCGTCCTCCATGTACTTGATGAAGTCCAGAGTCACCAGCTCGATGGGCGTCACGTATTTCTTCACCGTCTGCGGCTGCAGGATCGGCCGCTGCACCTTGGACCGGAACGCGCGCCATTGTTCGCCGTGCCTAGAATAAAGGACATGGTTAAGGAATTAACGTGTATAATAAATTCGCACTAGATCGTAAAAATATTTAAAGAAAAGTTTACTAGAAAAAATTAAACGCGGACCAGGCAGTAGACTGGACTCGAACCCGCACCCTTCGCTATCCCAGCGAATGCACTAACCATGATGCTACCGCGGCCTTGACGGCGCGTGGATTTTTTTCTAGTAAACTTTTCTTAAGATTTAAACGTCTACCAGTTAAATGCTTAAAAATAAAAACATAACAATAAAAATATTTGTTAATTAATTATTATGTGTTCATTATGATCATACAACTTTTGTAATAATGAAATATCCTGCTTTTGTGAAGTGTTAATTAGAGAACTAGGAGGAAAAATCATTTGAAAATGTAAAATTTATGGCTCTGTAAATATCCTAAATTGGCAATATCTTTTAGCAAATGCCGCAATAACTGCTGTACCAGCTATCTTTCCATTTGGGCTCTATCACCACTTAACATCAGATGGGGTAGAGAAATGTCTAGGCAAATGTGCCTACCTGGCTACAAAAACAATAATGAAGAAAATATGACGTAGTAGTTTTTATAATTTTTAGGATTGTAACTTTATCGAAAGTTCCTGAGTCTTTTTTTATAAAAATTATAAATCTTCATCCATTCAGCATTACATATTACTAATTACAATATTTATACATTGCTAATACACAATTTTAGCATGTCCTTTAAAATATAAATTTACTATAGCGGCCGCCCGCGACATCGTCCGTGATAACTTTAGTGCTGGAGTTTAACACAGAACATTTTTCTGGATGAAAAATATCCTATGCCCAGAATTGCAATGATATATCAAAAAATCTATAATATGGAACCCAAATTATCAATATGTATATCGATATGTGTAATTCATGGGTCTTTAATTCGTCGATCTTACTGATTTCGAAAAACCCCGAATATCGATATTTGGAAGGCTAAATTTATAGAACGTTATGTTTTTATTTATTTTTAAGCATTTGATTGCTAGATGTTTAAATCTAAAGAAAAGTTTTACTAGAAAAAAATCCACGCGGACCAGCCCGGATTGCGAAGGGTGCGGGTTCGAGTCCCGTCTGCTGCCTGGTCCGCGTGAATTTTTTTTCTAGTAAAACTTTTCTTTAGATTTATAGAACGTTATTAATGTTTATTTACTCTAAGTGATATTACTATTGAAAGGTATATTTTTAAATGCACATTAAATAACTTATCAGCCATCAAGTTATTTACATCAAGTAAATAATTTTTCACATCAAATATTTTAGTGCAAACAAACTATTTGTTGAACAAAACTAGTGATGAAAATAATTAAAAATATACATGTAATCTGTAGTACATTTTTTCCTCTAGTGCTCGACGAAAAATTTGTTTGATTGTACAGAAATATGATTTTCACATCAAATATACCTACTGATTGAACAGCAAATCTACCGATTGCACAGAAAATTAACCAGGGCTTCGACGTATAATACTCACACTCATAACAAAACAACTATTTTTGCAACAGGTTTCCCATTAAACATTTCAAAACTTGCTCTACATTGGGACACTTTTGATGGTTATAAAAAAATGCTTTTGCATATTGGAGAGTTGTCTTTTGCCCACGCAAAGAAGTGTCTAGATAAATGGTAAATGTACCTGCCCCCAATAATTTTTAAAAACTATAAACGCAAGCATATCATGGGCACGGTAATATTATATACAGTATTCTATCTTCATACAAATGGTCGGAAAGCGAATCATACACGCAACTCGAGTTCGCGGGACTCTCGGGGGTGTGAATTGTTTTTTATTAGCCGTGCTTAAACGTGCGATTTGTAGTGTTAATATTTGATTGAATTAAGTAGATACCTACATAATTTAATATGGCAAAGAACAAACGACGATATTGTGCTGTTTTTGGTTGCTTGAACTCTTCAATAACGCACCCAGAGATATCATTTTTAAATTACCTGAAATATTGGAAAGGTAAGACTATAGAATATTTTTTTATATACCTATCTACTAGTATGTAATTTGTTTTTAATATTTAGGTATTTCGATTTTTCATCGGGAAAAATATCTGGAATAATATATAAATAAGTGGATAGGGTGAAAAAAGAGACAAACGATACACTCGCGTTAAAAACAAAACTACATAATAGGTAGGTAGTTTCCTAGACTACGCTATCTACTTACTTAACTTAACTACATACATTATTGAATTAAATGAAATATCATTATGAAATAATTTACGAGAGTAATAAATGGTAGGTATTGTAGTGATCGGATCTTTTTGGTGTATACTGGCAAATTATTAGGTTATTTGGAAAAGAGACGGATTGTTGACAGGAATTGATAGCTGGAAAATATTAAAATAGGGAGATTTGTGCGGAGTATAAAAAACAGTATTTTGTTTATTGATAATAATAATGTAATTACTTGAAAATAAAAGTGTTTCAATGACAATAATTAGTTTGCATGAAACGATCCCTACAGTACCTACCTAGTAAGATTTACCTACATCGTAGGTAATTTCCTTTTTACCCGACTGCGCCATGACTAACAAATAAATATAACTTGTATGTTTAAAATAATATTCTTTTATTGAATTATGTAAGAATAAAAATCAGCAGTCGGTTTTTTACAAGTTTTTAATTAACTTGCAATATAGGTAGGTATGTAACTATGTTTGTTCGGGTGGAATCTTGCAACTCTATTTTGAAGCAGATATCGTCAACCGGATGAGCTGAAATTTTGTATATACACGTTTTGATTAAAAAGCACTCTTAGCTGTGTGACATCGTTCTAAATCCAACATGGCGGAATAGTTATTTTTAATGCATTCCTACGATATGGATATCAAATTAAAGGGCATGCGGAGAATAGCTCGAAATATAAAGTGACGTCACTCTAAATCCAACATGGCGGAACACCCAAGATGGCGGACTAGTTTTTTTCATTGCACTCATACAATATGGGTATCAAATGAAAGGACTAATGAAAGGAGATAACGAATGCGACTTAAGCTCCGTTGCTCCATTAAATTTATATGAAATAAAAATTAAATGCTCTAAGAAGAATAAAATAAACTTTTGAGTTTTACTATCAACTTATAACGTCAAAATAAAATATTTACAATCACAAAACTAGAAAGAAACTCAATTATGTAGATGAAATTAAAATACTGTAGCCCTACCGCGCGGATCAGCCCCACTCGGCCGTAGGTAGTTATTTCAAGGACAGGGCCCAGTCACAATACTGTATAGATAATATTACCGTGTCATGGGTCTTGCAATCCGATTCAAGTATGTGAACCTACCTACCTGCAGAGGCCAAAAATATACCAATCGGACAAAAAAGGAAGCGTGGACGTCCCGCTGGAGCAAGACCCGCTTTAATTACCGAAAGGTAGACGTTACTTTTTGTATCAGATGTTATAGTTAATCTCATTGTGTCGCAATAAATAAATAATTAGATTCTTATTTCAATTAAAATGGTGTTTCACTTGAGTAAACTGCTGTATGAGATAAAAATATGGCAGCAGGCAGTAAGTAGGATTTAATTAATTTTAGATTGAACAAGTAAAAGTTAGTAGGAAAAGGTTTTCCATCGGTCCGCAAATCTACTGGGTGCGACAGAAGAGCTTGTGCTAATAAGCTCCGGTAAGAAACTCAGCAGTGTGTGTCTTCTAATTAAAGTAATCTGTTAATAAAAGCACAAATTTGATTAACAACTAAAACAACGATAGATTATAATGTAAGTATCAAATTTTCTTCTGTGTTTCGCAGCGTAATCTATGTTAAAGAAATCTTAAAAGTAATCTGTATTCTCGAGATGTCATCACGCGAGCCGCCTCGGCATCCGTTGATTGGCCGTTTGATATTCTGTACTGTCGACACCCGACACGACAAGGCCACGACATCTCGTCATGGTGTTTCTTTAAATGAGTATTGTTATTTTAATGGAACTACAAAGGTTTAAAGTAACTTTATTTCGCTGTTACGGCCGCTCGCGGCTATAGTTTTTTAAAAATCCCAAAGGTACCTAACACTTTCTCGGGATAAATCCTAACCTCCTCCAATTCAGGTCATAAACTACACGCGTGCCTAATTTAATCCAAATCCGTTCAGAAATAGAGTAACCAAATAAACAAACTTTAACATTTATAAAATTAGTAGGATTAAACAGTTTTTAATAATTTACGGGTGAAAACTAGCAAAATGAGCCGCCTGATTGTAAGCGGTCACCATAGTCATGATAACGAAAATGTTACTAAAACCCAAACCCCGTGAAAGGGCAATCTCTTTCTATGTTCTTTGGCCATATAAGATGGAGTCCTGTATACCTTCTGCCACAGAACACAGAAAGGGTGATCCTCCATGATCACTTCAATATCCTTTGTAGCCGTAGTAGTAGTAATTTGTAAACAAAACTTTAGTTTTGCAATAATTTGGCAAAACAAAGGCAGAGCCATTATATTGCTCGTCATATTATCAAACAAATCACCGTTTTTTGCGTCTCTGCCAGATAAAAAGTGACAACCAACTCATAACAATCGCAAATTATGAACTATTTTTATAAAATTTTCAGCTTTGGGCTCTTGCAAGTTTAAAACGTTAGTATTAGTATTACATAATTTGCATTCAATTAGATTTGAATAGTAATATCCGACGACATCGGTTGCTGTACAAACGGTCTATACCGTTTGTACGGGAACCGATGTCTAACTACACTTCCACCTAATAGACAAATAGCCAATCAAACGACGCGACATCAAACAATCGAACCAATCAGCGCTCACACCCGAGAGCGACGACGCAATCAGAACCAAGTTTTGGTCAAGATATGAGCATTTGCTCACACATAACTGCGGCGTGCTTATCCCACCCACATGGCCCTTCTAACCTCTTCCTGTGCACCCTGCCCTCACCGACAGGGGCGTATTAACCTTATCAAGAAGGCCATGACCCGTGGCAGTAAGCTACGAGGGG